TATAACTGAATATTTACCTCCTAAATTTTAAGGATGGGATTAATAACTAAATTAGCAATGCATTTTATCCCTGTTTCTTTCTGGCAAACTATTTCGTAGGACATGCGAGAACCTAAATTTTAAACAGTTTTATTTATTTATTTAAACATTGTTGATTTTAATTTCTCTTCTTTTGCAACCTTTTTTCTCAATCTCAATTAAGAATCACCTAAAGGCTTTACTTAGTCTAGACCCACAAAGGCTACGTGTGACTAGTCTTCTTTTATAAACTTATTCAATCAAAATAAAAGTGGTAGTTTATATATATAATAATTTTTAATATAATAATACCCCGACTTTATATTTTATCTTTATTTTCTATTTATTACCTTTAACATTTTAATAAAATTCCCCTTTTATCCTCTCTTTGGTAATTCAGAAATTTCCTCATTCTTTCTCGCACAACACACCCTTTGCTTTTCTCCCTTTTCTCTTGTGTTTACTATTTTATGGGTTATTATTTTACTATTAATCTGTCATTAAAAATACTATATATGTTATTTTACATTGTTATTTTTCAACAAAATATTTAGTCTTTAAATAAAAATGATTAGAGAGAAAAAAATATTAAAATTAAAATTATCTAAGCTTATATTCTTACACATAAAACAAAATGTATACAAAATTCCTACACGTATATTTTATATCATTCAATATTTATTAACTAATTAAATAAACAATTATAAGAAAAACTTTTAATTTGATCTTGTGTGAAAAAACTAGTCGAACCAGCTGAAATCACAATGCTTCAAATGGAGTTAGTTTTTGACTTAACGGATTGGATATATGTGATGAGACTAAACTAACACTTTTAAAATTTAATTTAATAAATTAATTTAAAACTTAAAACTTTAATGAAAAATTATTTTTAACATTCAATTAATTTTTCATTTTAAACTAATTCATCAATTACTTTTATTCACGAAAGCCTTACTGAAAAGGTAATAATGTGTGGTTGGGTCAAAAACCTAGCTTTTGGTAACGTTTCCATTACTCAAAATATTGTGAACTGTTGTTTTTTCCTCACCACAACCAGTGGTAACTGGTAACCATAACCATATCTGTCTCTCCAAAATTGTCACACTCTCCCAATTCTTTAGAACTGAATGAGACCTTGTTAGGACCAATGTCTCACTACTATTAGAAAATTTCTAGCAGGGTTTTACCTCACTTCCTACATGAGTGGGACCCTAAAACCTAATCAAACAATCTATGTTCACCATATCAAATCAGTTATCCAAAGGTTCACCTACTCCTTCACATCTGATTTTGTTATCACTTATCAGGTCATATCAAATATAGCTACCCCAGTTCACTAAATTCACCAAAATAATTGTCCACTTCAATGATTTATTTGCATCTGCAAGGAAAAGAAATGGTGGAGTGACTGATGTGGGTGGTATTTCACTTTATTTTTCTTTGCAATTTTTTTATTAGATTTTGTTCTATTGTTTTGGACCAGAGATTGCTTTGTTTGTTTGACTAGAGAGGCTATAATATCTGAGTGAATATAAAGCTGGTGAATTTTATATGCAGAAGGAAGAAGGCATGTAAATGTGACTAGTTTGGAAAAACCTTCGATTATTTTAAAGGGCAAATATTATAGGCTTGTTCATTTGTTCTAGAAAAAACATAAAATAAGTAATATAATAAAGAAATATGTAAAGAAAAATAAAATATTAAAAAAATGATGTAAGAATAAAAAAACTAATAAACAGAATTTTTATTCATCAAATGTTATTATTAAATAATGATAAAATATTCATGTCAGTTATCATGTCATCAATTAATTAATATGATGTAATAAAATATAATTTTTTTTCTGTAAATTATGTTTTTAATTCTACATCTTTTCATAAAATTTATTTTTAGTCTAAACAATTTTTTTTTATCGATCATAGTTTCATCTCTTCATCAAATTCACATTTAATGCTTTAACAATTTTTTAAACTCTTTCATAATTAACAATACAAAATCGACAACTTAAAGTAAGCAAATTCATAAATCATTTGAATTCGTAAGTAAAATTCCGAGTACCAAAATTAGAGAATCCCCAAATCTTTTAACTCTTTTATGTCTCAATCTCCAACCGCACTATTCAAACAACACTAAACATTTTCATCTTAATTTTGCTTCCACAAATCTTTTTTTCTTCATAATCAACATGTAGGCACGAGATGATAATGGTGATAAATGAGGAGTTTCAATGATGTAAGGAATTTCAAGTATGTTGTTATTTCTTTTTTATCAAAATTACAAACATTTTATTCGCGGTATAAATTTTTTAACATCTTAAGAACGTTTACGTCAAACTAATTATACACGTGGCAAGTCACTTATTCTTTGTTATATCATATGGATTAACATAAAAATAGGATAAATGAGATAAAAAAAAAAGGAAATATTATATTTGATAAATAATGTCAACCCACCTCACTTAAGTTGATTTATCACGAATTATACGTTGATATTTTGAATAAGTTATTTTAATTTAACTCACTTTTTGTGAATTAATAAAATTTTAACTCAGTTCAATCTACTATGAATTTGTAGATTAAGTGAGTTAACTCATTAAATTTTTTAAAATAAAAAAATAAAAATAAAAAATAAATATTTATATTTTTAATAAATAAAATAAAGAGTTATGATTTTTTTATTAAGAAATTAAGTTAATTATTGATTCAAATGTAAATACAAAATAAAATATAAATCAAAATTTTAAATAAAAATTATGTAAAATATAAATATATGAATATTTTACTTTTTTTTAATTATAATAGATTAAATAAGTCAATTCAACAACCAAGTTAAAATTTAGCAAAAATCAATACAAATTTTTATTTTTTAACTTGGTCCGGTTGAGATGAATGTTGACTAAATTCACTTTGACACTCTTAAACAAAATTAAATAGAAAATGAGTTTTTTAAAAAAAAAGAGTACATATTTATATTTTATATTCATAAAGCTAAAATTATTATAAAATATAAATAATCGTCACACACTTGGTTCCCTCAACTATAATGGTAGCCAGAGCCACATGTGGTTGTAGTTGTACACTTGTACTCACCCTTTGTCTCTGACTCCAAAAAATTTTCTCTCCCATAAGTTACTTATTACTACCAATATTTCAGCTTTGTGTTCTCACGAAGCTTCTATGTCATCATTTATGTAGCAGAACCAATTCTGCTCTTGCAGGCCACTATTGTAGTGTCACAACGCACGCAGAGGAACCCCCAAACCCTAAAACTCTTTACGTATACCGTGTGAGTTGTGACACAATAAAGACAGCATTTCAAATAATTAAGATGAAGCCACTTTGTTCAAATTTATGGTGCATGTTGGACCCTTTCGTAATTCAAAAGCTTTAGGGAAAAAAATTTGAATGGATGCAAGTAAAACATTGCTTTTGGAAGATGCCCCAACAAAGACACAGGTGAAAAAACAGAACTTTGTTTTCTTCGGGATATGTGGGATTTCAAAGTTGAAGCTTTAGTATTCAAGTGGGGTTGATACTTTGGTTTAGGATATTTTTCTTGAAAAGAAGTGCTGATTGTTTGATCCCACATTTAAGCTAAAGGGCAGCATCCAAATGAAACAAAAAAACATGAATAGTGGTTATTCTCTTTTAACTGTGTGCAACCTTAGGATGAAAAGCACAAACCGTACACAATAAAGCTAAGCAACTAATGGCCTATTTCGTCACTCACATGTTGCAACCATAATACATTTTGCTTCGGTTTCAGGGGAAAGGGTCTTACTTTCTCTTTGATCACCTCAATCAAAAGATAAATGGAGGGCCTAATTAATTTCTATCACTCAGTCACTTATTGCCAAATAACTTTGTATGATTTTGCTCTCTTTCCACTCTTCTTGGTACGTGGTGGGTCATCATGTCACATTGTGAAGGGATGTGTGTACTATACCTAATCAAAGATAAGAAATTATGGAAACACGAAACTGAAGAGAAGCAGCATATCCAAAAAGAAGATTAAAGAGGGGAAATTAAATTAAAAAGAAAAAAAAAGAAAAAATGAACCTAAGCTGTCCTCTTGGGTGGGTCTGCTTAATTAAATCATATTAATTATTGCTTGAGTACAATTCTAACATCTATAGGCATAAAGACTTCTCGAATTGTAATATGTAACTGTACTTAGGACCGAAATATTTGCACCCGAATCAGAAGAATTTGCTCTTGTTGACAACACATTATTTTTTTTATATATCTTTTTTCTAATATATTGATTTAAATAAGAATGAGAATCACAGTGAAATATGTGAATTTCAATATAAAACAATGTTAAACAGACAGTATTAAAAATTACGTTAGTAGCATTTTTTTTTATCTCACCTTATGGGTTTTAAGGGTTACAATTTGGATATGGCAGACTCATTTCTTCAAAATTTGATAATGAGGTGACCATATATTTTCATTATTGTTGTACATATCAGTATTTAATGTAAAATTTTGATCATACTAAAAATATGAGAGTGATTTATTAACAATTTGATAACAAGTACCTAATAAATGTAATAACTTAATTTAGTCTTTAAATTAAGAAAGTACTGTCATATTAATATCTAAAACTAAGATATTATAAATTAGTTTCTAAAATATCATATAAGTTGTTAAACTTAAAATTGAACTTTAAAGACTAATTTTATAAATTGTTAATTTCAAGAACTATTGTGACAGTATTCAAAGTATCAAAGAGTGTGTTTACTCTCAAAATTAATTTAAATTTTTTGATTAAATATACTTATAAACCATGTTCTGAAAGAAGAATTACTCCATGCGTCATCCATACCCTACAGCAAAAAATAAAAATTGGCAGACTCACATGTCGACATCTCTCCTTTTTTATTCATTCAAAGATCAAAATCAAAATCATTGTACCATGGTCACATTCCTCTACCTATATAAACACGCGTTGAAAGTGACTATGCTCCCCACCAAGTCCAAACCAACTTCCACTACCCTCTCCACATCTCAGCAACAAAGCTTCCACCTTGTGAAATGGATCACAACACTGCCATCAGTAACCCTGCCTCATCTGCAGGCTCATCTTCAAAGGCAAGCAGAAACAAAGAGCTCAAAAAGGGTGCCAAGAAATGCAAAGGAGTGAAACTTTCCACCGACCCACAAAGCGTTGCAGCAAGAGAACGAAGGCACAGAATCAGTGACAGGTTCAAGATCTTGCAAAGCATGGTCCCTGGTGGGAGCAAGATGGACACAGTGTCCATGTTGGAGGAAGCCATTCAGTATGTGAAGTTTCTCAAGGCACAGATTTGGCTTCACCAAACCATGATAAACTTTATGGATGATAATAGTATTAATGACTCACCCTCTCCTTTGTACCTTAGTGAGTGTTGTTTCCCTTCTCAGCAACACTTTGTTTACCCTCAGCAGAATTCTTCACTTGATTATGGCGTGCAGAATGTACCACACGTGCCACTAGCACAATGCAGCTTCCAAGGTGAAGACACAACCTACTTTGATGCCTCTTTGCAACATTGGCCAGCTTAATTGATTAGTCTCTATAGTTGATATATAGTATGTATGATAATCAAGGTCTTGTCATTTGTAATACGTTTATGACTGTGATCTTTATGAGTGTGATATGTATAACAACGTAGAGAATGCTTAATTAGTGTAGAGTTTACATGTAATTCTGTTATGTTTCGTGTTGAATTGCTAATGTTGGCGTCTCTCTTTGTCACGAACACATCAAATTACTGCATTTGTGTATATGAAATGATCGTTTAGTGGCTGTTTAAGTATTAGCGTAGGTACAACTTTTACAAGTGTGAAGTGCATAAAGAGCATTTTGTAGGCTATTGCTACTAGTAAAACATGTTTTTAATCTTTACCATACTTTTTGTAACGATATTTTCTTTTCATCTATCTTTATTGTACTCAGTTATTCACCAAACATTGTACTCCGTTTTCTCTCTTTTTTTCCATCTTGTCACTTAATTGTATAATGCAAATTTATTAATTATACAAATACAATTTCTCTATTTCTTATGGGACTCGTTTACGAAACACTGCAAGTGTCAATTTTAGTTCTATTAATGAGTTGGTGTACACAGTCAAAGCCCTCTTTATTGATATTTGGATTTTGGGTTATTATCTCACTACAAGGAAATTGCACAATAGGACATACATCTTATAGTGACACAATAAATATTATTAAAAATTATTTTTATCTACACAATAAATATAATATATGTTGATATATTGTTAAAAAGTGTAGATATAAATTATAGTGACACATAAAATATATTGTTAAATCTTATTTAAAATCAACATTAAAATTATGTGTAGTTATATGATAAATAGATATATATTTACATATATTATATTTATAGTGACACTTTTTGTATGACACTATATGTAACATTTATTGTAGTGTCTATACTAATATTAATAATAAATATTAATAATAAAGGAAGATTTATTTATTTATTTTATAATTTATATTTATAACTACCACAAATTATTTTTTTCTCTCTTTACTATTTTTATTTAGTTTTTATTTTTTTTTAACTTTAAACTGTTTAAAATTTACTTTTATAATTATAACTAACTAAAAATTGAAAAAATCTTCTTTATTAATTGATCACTTTTATTTTATTTTTTAAAATATACATCAACACAAAGTATTTTTTTATGCTAATTATTAATATTGTTGTTGTCATATTCTTAAATTAATATGATGACTTTTTAATGAACGACAATTTAGAAGTGGCTTCAATCTGTAAAAGTTTAATGTTATACTACTTCTGGCACCTCTTTTTTTTTTTTTTTTGTTGTCTGTGGGTCAAATTTTGCATTTGCTTCTATCGAACAGGATGGTAAAATTTCATCAGTATTGTTTCAGATAAATTTTGGATGAAGGAATACAAATTAATATGGTGCATAAAAATAATTAAAATTAGTCGGTGTGGCAAGTAATTTTCATTTATGTTTGTTTTGAAAAGTGGTGAAATAAAAAAATTAAATTGATCAAAATTAAGAGTTAACTTGAGAAAATAACTCAAACAAGAAGTTGAGTTCACAATTTAAAATATTGAAATTGATTTGACTAAACTGTTGAAATGTCAAATTAATGTCATAAGCTGTACTTAACTTTATATATTTTAAGTAAATAGATTAATTTAATATGCTGCGATGCTACTAAGAAAGATGAAAGTAAAAGTAAAAGGCAAAAGTTAGTATATCCCGCTAAGGAATGGATATACTTTTAACCTCGTGGCGCGTTTTTCTTGACTAATTAATATTGGTATTTTATAAAAAGAACTAGTTTAATATTAAGTTTTATAATCAATAGTTTAATATTAAGTTGAATATATATATATAATAATAATTTTTACAATTAGCTTTTAAAAATATTTTTTTTATAAATTTCTTTTATTTTTCTCTTTCTTTGTTACATTATTTATTTTATTTCACACTTATTTCCCTTCTTAAATCTCTACCCATCTGTATAAATTGTTATAAAAATTTGTTAAAAAAATTACAGTACTCAGTAATATTGATAATTCTATATTAAAAAAATGTTATTTCGAGCAAGAGTAATTGTGAAGATCCATTGTATTTTGATCATACTAAAAATTAGTAGCATTTATTGAATATTCATTTTTAATAGATGATAAATTCTAAGTTGGATGTAGGAATTGTTGTTTTGGATAAGAGGATTTTGGAGTTGGTATGTCGTTCTTGAGATTGCTAGGTTCGTTTTTGAATTCATGTGAGTTTTTTAAGCTCGTTCGCTTAGAGTGTCCATGAGATTGCTTAAGTGAGAAAAATGGACCATTTTAGAAAGGAGTCTTTGATTGGGTTCGTTCAAAGCGAATTTTGGGTGCTTAGAGCAAATTCCAGTCAATTCAAGCTAGCTATTAGGTGCTTTAAGCAAATTTTGGTCGCTCCGAGCTAGTTATTTGGTGCTCTAGACGAATTCTAGTTGCTTCAAGCAAGCTCTAGGGCACTTGAAGTGCCTGTTTCTCATTTGAACATATAATTTTCTCAACTTGTCTTATTAAGTTGGTTGTTTGCACATGTATGATGAATACTGAATTCAGTTCATTATATTGATCTATGATGATTATGATGATGATTTATTAAGTTGAACATTGTATGTTGATTTAAGTCGATTAAGTTGAAAGTTGTTTGTTGTGTGAAGTGATATTGTAAGTTGTTAAGTTGTACATTACATGTGAAGCATGTTTAAGTTGAGATACATAAAAATTAGAAGAGAGTAAAAGTTATTTTAGAAATTAAAATATCCCATTGTACGTGGATGGTGCTCCTAGAGTCCAAATTTGAAAATTCTTTAGTGAGTAAGTTGTCCTTTGAATGAGAAGTTGTTTTTAAGTTGTCTCTTCTAGGTTTTGTATGGAACAATATGGGGTTAGATTAAGTCATATTGATTACAAAGTGAATGATTAAGTAAGATATGAAGTCAAGGGATAAAATCTTTAATTGATTACTAGAAGGGTCCATGGTATCACAATGATAGTTAGCAAGTTATACCCATATGTGACTTGATCAATGCATGTTAATGTGCTTAGAGAGGCCTAAACTTGGCTATATTTGACCTAGAAGAAATAGTTCAGACATTATGGTCTGATAGGGTCAAGTTTGTTAGACTATTCACTTCAATTGTAGGAGATCTTCATAAGTTGATATACATGAAAATGTATTAGTTATTTAAAGTTTTTAAATTGTGATTGAAGTTGCTTATGTTGAGAATTTTGTGCATGCTTTAAATTGTAATTGATGTTAAAAGTTGTGATTAATGTTGTAAGTTGTGGTTATGTTTTAAGTTGGAAAACTAACATGTTGTTTAAGTTGTTTATATGGATAAGATGTTTTTAAGTTGACTAGTTGGTCTATGTTGTTAAATTGTATATATTATCAAAGTTGTTGTTATGCTTTGAATTTGGAAAGCTAATTTGTTGCTGAAGTTGGATAATAGTAATTTATTTCTTATATATAATGTTATGGTATTTTTTTTTTCACAAGTTTATCCTTACTTTTTCCATATTATTGGACTTCAATGATCATATTTGGTATGAGAGCAGAGCAAGATTAGGTTAAAGGGCATGCTTGGTGGATGACCATGCTAGAGATGACCTTGTTTTGTTATGTTGTTCTAATATAGTAGTTGTTTTAGAGACATTTAATTGGTGTTAGGATTGTTTTGCATCAATATTTTATACTTGATGTATATTTGTATATATGTATAGAATTTTATTATATATATGTACATGATTATATTCAGGGTAGATAGATAACTTATGGTAGAGGAAATTTGGGTCAATGCTTGACATGTCCAACAGTACTTAGGCGAACAAGTCTTTGTTCGTGTCAATAATTATTGTTAAGCTCATATGACTCGAGTTAGATAGGGTTGCTCTGACATAAGTGACTTGTGATTCCTTTTTACCTACTTGAAGAGGTTGTGTTTCTTCAATGGACTATACTTGTTCGTCCTTTTCGATACAAGGGTCGAGTCTAGGGTTGTCGATGAGGTTTGATGAGGAGGAGTTACCATGTTATACGTTTCGACCTTTCTTTTTTTTACGAATGTTGTATGTAGGCTCACAAAATAACATTCTCTTGCTACTTTCTAGTCGACATGTACTATGAGGATTCTCCCTGACTATGAAGGAAACTTCATTGTCAAGTGTGGTGTTGGCATTATCACCCCAAGGGTGTTAAGATATGGTCGTCCCAAGAGCATATAGTAAAACATGTTTGAGTGTACCATTACACACTTAACTTGTACTTCTTTATACTTCTTTCCATTGAAATAGAAACAAGTGAAAAGGTTAACATAGCCCCGTGTGTTCACCTTCTCATCGAAGAAAATGACCAAAGGCTCATTGTAAGGCATCAATTCCTTCTCAAGTATTCCTAATTGTTGAAAAGTTTTTTAGTAAAAAATATTGGTCAAGCTCCCCTGGTTGACGAGTGTCTTTTGGATGATGCAATTGTGAATTTTGACACTGGTGACCATGGGGTCATCTTATAAAATGTGACACCCTCTACCCTTCATGCATAATACTATGAAAATAAATTTTCTAAAAAGAATATTGTGTTAAATAATTTAAAATAAAGGTAAAAGGTCTCACATTCTAAATTCGAAATTCAAAAGACTAAACCAAACTATTACAAGAATTTCAAAAATGTGTTTAAAGGAAATAAACTAAGCTCCTAGTGAAAAAAACAAAATGACATATCCCTAGTAACCTTGATGTCACAGGTATCAAAGTTTCCCATTCCATCAACTAAATTGCTTTAAAATGGAAGTTTCCTATAATCACATATGGAAACAACCACAAGAAAAATATAGGAGTGAGAACACATCCCACTCTAACTACTAGTGTAGAATAAGGTCGGGTAGCCACACATACAAAAAATATTTAAACAAAATATTCATAACATTAATCAATCCAGATACATATATAAAATAACAATCAAAGCACTACTCCACAATTTATATTTTAGCACATTACAACATAAATCACATTATAATTCAAATACAAATAACAAGCTATGATTATGAAAGGACTATACTTTCCTAACTATATATATATGGCGTTAGTAAAACATTTTATCTCTACTTGAAAGTTGAGTACTCTTAGAGCACATGTTGGGTCAAGTCATCACAACACTCTCACTAGAAGGATATATTAATCAAGTCTTATTGGGATAATTGAGCTGCATAAGATATACCCCATGTACACAATGGGGAGACTAGGGCTTCCCAAACCAA